AACGTCGCCTCAGGAAACTGAATCATAGCTTTCTTCTATTCCCTTTAGACACATCGTAATCAGAAGGTTGTTACTATCACCAGAAAACAAGAAGAAACACGCGATCGTTTGAAGTCTTATTTGATACCTTCAGATATGGCTTGCGATAAAATCTCGGGTATGATCCCAATCCAATTCATAAACAATACTTTGTCTAATCTTATGAGTGCAGTAGTTTGAAAGGGGGAAAACTCCACCCATCTCGTACAATAACAATAAACATCCTGCTAGTGAACGACATTAATCTCCCCCATATGTGCGATAACTCTCAATTCCTGAATGGGTACCAAAATAGCATCCCCTTCTCTACAAACATGAAACAATTGAACAACCCTCTCACATTTGAGTTCTGAAACCCTGCACCCCACGGAATTACATAAATCTATTGAATTAGACAACTTCCCGTGATTGAATCATAGAAGATATTACTTGGCTTCTCATAACTAATGGCACTTACTTTCTCGCGATAATGTGCATTGACGTATTCACAATAAGACTCCGTTCTAACATTTTTTTATGATAAATTATTTACACAAGGGAGTGTTGTTTAACTTATGCATYGTTAATTCAGGCAAGTGTACCGTAGTCAAATATGTGTATAATGATGAGATGAGTGTCGAACCCACAGAGAATAGATCACAGTACCAAATCAATTTTAAACTAACCTAAGTTGAACTCCTGAATCAATTGAGTGAATAAAAACTAAGAAGAATTAATGCAAATCTAAAACTTAATAAAAACAAAATCTGTGAATGAATGCAACTAGGGTTTAGATTTCATTAAATCAAGGTTATATAATTACCTATTCAATCCAACTCATGACCAAAATTACCCTAAGGTATATTAAAGTTATTTGCATGTGATTGTGGATTTCCCTAAATTAATTAATAAGCTTTCTCAAGTCATGTTAATCTTTTATTAATCCAATTCTACCATCAAATTTCTAGGTGGTTGTCAAAAGGAAAAATAATCATTAAGTTCTTTGGAAACCTCTAATATTAGAAGGAGATTTGACTCACTAAGCTTCCATGATTCCCATACATGAGCTAATCATCTTTCGATATCGTAGTCTAATACGTGATTTTTATTGCCTAGGGATCTAATTCATAACAATCCTTTAGTTAGTCATGCATAAATCATCGAATCATTAAAAGATTGACCAATTCTTTTAAAACATTAAACACATCAATAAAAATCCTCATGCAAATAATAATAAGGTTTTGAATTGAATTAAACAATTAACTAATATAATCATAATATCAAAATCCATTTAAACCCAAGTTAATAGAATTTAGCTAAACATAATTAAATTCAACACACTCAAGAATCTTAAAGAAGAAACCCAACAAAAACACATCAAGGAATGAGTAGAACAACAAGAAAACCTTAGCCTTTGAAGGTAGAAGACAAGTGCAGCAACTAAACTTTCCTCCCTCTTAGATTCATTTTTTTCCTCTCCTTCTCTAGCGTGCTGAAACTGCTTCTTCTTTTCTCTTCTATCGAATTTTCTCTAAGGATGTGTGTCTTTGCCTTAAGTCTATGGTTCTTTTTATAATGCARCCCCCCTCCATAACCTCTCAATGCAAACTCCTAATTCAACACAAATTAGGTCTCTAGTCATGATCAAAGTTGAATTCCTATTTTTTTTGTAGTGCCAACTATAAGACCTGAAACTTGTATATCAAATTGCATTTGGTTGGCGGAAGAATTAGGGTGCGGTAAACATAAGAGTTGTAGCCCTATTTCGTAGCTTTAATTAGCCATTTAAATCGCCTCAATCAGAATTATAGGCAGGAAGTTATGCCCAAAATACGGGAATTATATCAAAACAGGAAATTTTCCTTTTTTTGTGCATGCATAGCAAATTCGTTTTCAATGGATTCTCTTCTTCATGGCCACATCATGGAACACCCTTGATGCATGGAATTTCCTCTATGATTGTCTTGATCAATTAAATCGAATTTTTCCTTAAAATTTTACAATTAATCTCCAAATCACCTTGCAAGACAATTTCATCATAATTAGTGCAATACCATGCTAATTCTAAAAAACATTATTTCCAAAATCATCAAGTTAGAGGTATGAAAATATGTATAAATATAGGTTTATCAATGAGCAATACCAGAAATAAAACTATTGTATGAGAAATGGCAATATAAAAAAGGAAAAACAAAATTTCGCATTCCATCTGGTATATGTACAAAAGTAGGCTTCCTACAAATAAGTACATGTTCTATACATTGGCCCATCCCTTCCTAATAGCAACAATGGTCTATCTCCAAGATTTTAAGATCTTCCAATTCGTCTTCGTACTCGACAAGGACCTTCTTCTTCCTAGTGCATTCGTCCATTAAATCCTTGAGTTTCTTTGTCATCTTCGCAATGCTAACTTCAACCACTTTATGGCGAAGGCATGCATCCTTCATCGAGCAAAACAACATGGACTGCAAGACTTTGAGGCTGGCCCTCCAGAACTCATGGGCAAGCACCACAACCCGGGACTCCACCTCCGTCATGTCGAAACCCATGACAGCAAAAGATCGGCAAGCCTCAATCAATGACCAAAGTCCAACAACGACAGGTCCTCCGCAGGACGATTCATTATGTCATGCATCATTGTCGTGATGGTGTTCAAAGTAGGCGCCATGACCTTTGGATGTTGGTTCGCTGTTGTTAACCACCCAGCCCGAATAATAGTTGAAGCAAACTTCGCAACTGAACTCGAAACTGAAAATTGCTCACCCCTGCTACGTCCCTAGACCTGAACAGGATCAACAACATCATAATTCAAAGGGGAAATGTTATGCTTATCGCGATACCCCCTAAGCTCCTCCCATATTTCTGCAAGCTCCTTTTCATAAGTCGACTCTTCATTCGATGACACAACCCTCGCCTCTTCGTCCCTATTAGCTGACGGGCCATCTGCATCCATGGGAGCCTTAACTTCCTCAACAGGGGTTTCGGGCTCGACAGGAGTCCTGATCTGCGAGCCCTCAGGGGCCCCAACATCGATGTTCACATAACGAACCGAAGTCTCCTCACGATACACTGCTAGCTCCAAATCCACAGCACCAAGGCCTTCCCTTTCCGTCCCCATAGCATCGAGAGCAGTGTCACCGATAGCTGCTCTCAGTAGCTTCTCGAACCAGATTGAGGGGCTGCGATGATCTCAATTCTTCCATTAGCCACTGAATAAAAGGCGATGTAGTCATGGTAGCCGGATCTACATTGAACGAAGCCTGCGATGAAACACGATACTAAATTTCAACCTGGCAAGCACACAAATGCGTAACAAAAATACATCGAAAAAGCAAGTCCATGACTACCTCTTGACTCATATCAGGAATCCTCGTTTGTTCGGCGCTGGGTCGAGTGTCGTCAACCTCGACATGTCTCAAAACGAAGGACTGTACGCAAGTCAGTCACATAAACGATACACAGGCGTAACCACTTTCCAACAAACAATATAGATAGTCTTTACTTACTAGATTTGCCTGCCCGAAGGGGACACCGGGGCCTCTACTGCCCGCACAGGAGGATCCACTGGGATCTCTGCCGCCTGTGGAACATTATCGCTCACCCTGGATTGCAAAGACTACAAACAAACACAATTCGATTACCCACACTGAGGGCAATAAAAACAACTTCAAGACAAAAGAATATGTAAAGCCGTTTACTTACTAGACTCACCCGTTCAGGAGGGGCTACCGGGTTCTCCGTTGCCTATGAAACATTGTCGCTCGCCCCAGATGGCAGAGACAGTAGACAAACACAATTCAGCTACACACGCTAAATAAAATAAAACCGCAATAGATAAAACACCAAGACTAAGGGAGTAAAGTCAGTCCAACACCATATTGAATCATCATATACAAGACCCCGCTTTGGCCGGGGAGGGGCCATCCTCTTCATACGCCCGGTCGAAAACTTAAAACAAGTGATCTTACCTACAGGCATCATCACTGCCAATTGCGCAGGCCCCACCATCGATGCAGCTTCTTCCACAGGCAGAGATACTAGAGATTCCCAACCAGCCTCCACCTGACACTCTTGAGCCCACGCTGAAGTCATGCCCAAGCCAACAGAGTGTGCACAGGCCTCGGTTGATTAAAACAAGGAGCCCTCGTCGTCCTTTGCTTTTTTACAACGGGAGGATGAACATGCTCTTCCTCCTCCGAAACAAGCCCCTCTCTCTCACGCTTAGCACCCATATTCTCTAGTGAGCGCGACGAAGGGGATAGACCGACTCTTGTCCTAGTTAACAACGTGACCCTAAGGGGGTGCCAATACATGATGGGGCGGGGGTTCGTCCAAATATGCTCCTAAAAGCCACCAAATAACGGACAGAGATATGCCGAGCAAAGCGACTGGCATCCCTAAACACTAAAGTAACCCGTGACAGGCAACTGTGATAGTCAGGTGTAGGTACATAGTGGTCACTAAGACAGAGCACAAAAGGTGTCAAACCAACACTACTTGGACGCTTGTGATGAATCTAGAACCCATCGCACATTTGCGATGTATTCATCGTAAATCCGCAATTGCGATGAACTCATACCCGGGATAGGTCGCGATGAATTTAGCTAGCGCGAATCTGCGATAAAGTTAAGACGCGCGGGTTTGCGATGAACCCCAAACACACATGGACTTTCGATGAACTTGAACTCGCGTAAAGCTACGATGAACCTGACATCATCACAGAATCGTGGAACCGTTGATTCATGGTAGATCGGGAATAAATTCTGGTTACACATGTGTCTTTAAATTACACATGCGGGCTCAATAAAAGTATACCCACCAAATGATGACGTTATCCATGCTACATCTGTATAATAAGGTCACATACGGAAAGAATTTGAAAAGAATATGATTTTTGTAATAATAATCCCTTAATAATCAAATTAAAGGAGATATTTTTTTTCTAATAGAAAAAATTCATTTTTCTTAAGAGGAAAGAAATTTTTCGTCAACTTCCCTCGGAGAAACAACGTAATCATAACTCTGAGGTACGCCTTCTATCTTCTCTTCTCCTCTCTCTTTACTGCCGCCATCACCTTCGGAGATTGACCAACCTCCGCCTTAGTGATTACTAGTTGCTCTCCCATATCTGGAGCAAACGGCGGCATCTAAGTGACGACAATGGTTTGGTTACCAATCAACAACGCAGCTACGCTGGTTTTCTTAGGTGAGCTGCCTGTAAAAGCAGATCGGTGTGAATGACGATTTTGAAATTCGGAGCATCGTCCTTAGTTATCGAGCCCTGCCCAAAAACTTTACAACGGGAATGCGTGAACCTCAGAAATTGAGTAACCTAGCGGCAACTCCTCCTTCCCTGACTTCTTCTAACGCGTACCCTCTCTCTCCTCCTCTCTCTCAGTCATTGACATCAGAAACACGGTCGGGCTTGCATCTCTGGGAAAGTAGCACTCCGATGAGTGGCAGCCTCAACGTTCTGTCGCAATCCGATCACCGAAAAGGGGCTGGAATTGAAAAGGTAGAAATTTGTTACGCTGTTACAATAACATCGGCTCTTCACGGGGACAGAATCTCACAGTCGGATTAATTGACACACCTATCCTGCATCAAGATCAGCTTTACGCTTTTCTTTTCATCGAGAATCCGGGAAGTATCAGGTATGACTTGCTTCACATGTATCATTGGTGTTCGAACCCTAGTTTTTTTTTAACGGCTTTGGGAATTCTGAGGTCGCGATTTAATCCCTGAACCCACTGGCTGATTCTTGGTGTCGATTCTTTTTTTTCTTTTTCTTCGGATTGTCCTAGGAAAGGAGCTACCCATTATGCTAGCTGCGTATGATATCCTTTCAATTAAAAGTGGCGGGATGTTCTATTAGTTTCGATCTGATGAGATCTCAACGTCTCTCGCCATGGGATCATAGTCGTGATTAACGCCAATTTCGTAGTATATTTCTCTGTGGGTGAGTTTGGCCAGAGAATTTTGAAATTGAGGAACGACTAAGGGATTGAAAATAAGTTGAACACCCTTTCAGTTCTAACTTGTGATTAATCCACTTATTTAAAAAGCAAAAACAGATTGTGGTCGATTGATTCATAGCAATCGAATTCATGCGGGTTTATTCACAGGGTTTGCCTTGTTTCATCATTGTGAAAGTTGTATAGGCAAATTTTTTTAGTCTGAAACCTGTCGAATAGTGTCACAGAGATGACATCTGTGTTAAAATCATACAGAACCCATGCATTTAGAAGCTAATTGATGAACCCCGCTAAGATCCTAATTGTAGGATTCTGAATTGGCAAAGACTGAGCAGTGTATCGAGTAAATTTGGAAACAACACATGCCCATGCAGCCTGATTCCTTGATTTGTCTGGGTACTTCCCATTGATTACCGTGTTTCATGAATAAACAAGAGCAGTAACATAAGATTCTGAACTCTTATCTTCAAAAGAAGCATGGAAGATAACTCCGTAGTTGTTCAACACATGCTCACTCTTCCTCTTTTTTTTTTTTTTCCTTTTCTCTTTATCACCGCCGCTACAACTTCCGGTAGGCATTTTTTTCTTTCTTCCCTCTCTCCTTCTCTCCTTCTTCCCTCTCTTTACCTCTCATGCTCTCTCTTTTGTCCCATCATCCTCTCGGCCTAACCAACAATTTTCCCCCTGTTTTCTACTTTGTTTGAACTGAAGCATCACCGCCTCTGCAAATCCAACCAATGGTGGTGCGTCCCTAGAACATTAGTTCGGAAACCGCGCACCGTTCAACCATCTCCTCTCTACCCTTTTTCATTGTGAGTCCAACCGACCACCGTTCCCCACTCCTCTTCTGTCTCCTACTCTCTTTCTCTCTCTCTTCCACTCATATTTCATCCTACCTCCTCCACCTTTACCATTCCACTAGTTCGGAAACCGCCCAGATTCACCTTACGTACTCCAACCAGAGCAAAGCCGCATAACCACCACTGAACCCAGGCCAGGGGAACTTTTATTGGATTCTCATTACTCTAGTTCGATAATTGTTTGGTTATATCTTGCAATGCACTAGAATAAGTAATTTTATATTTATATATATATATATATACATATTTATGTTGCTTCGAACCGTCACTTAGACCATTTAATTTTTTTTTTATTATTTTTCTTTTTTTTGTTGAATGTTTGTCTCACTACCTGAAACTTGTCCTTAAATAAATTGCTCGATGCCATCTGTCATAGAAGTTTATGTCATTCAATTTATGTAAGGGAGGTAATATAACCCATCTACCCTTTATTGTTTAAATTAAGTCATTAGATAGCTAACGTTGGATGCAACATTGGGCCTCTTAGGAATCCTAACTCCCTTTAACTCGGCTGTGAATTCATGAGATAAGTCAAGCCTTTGATCATGCTTCTATAATTGAAAATTGCATGCAGTGATTACCCTGAAAAAAAATCTGATACAATTAATGGCTAAAGGCTTGTTTCGAAACTCTCAATCTCCTAGTGGAATTAATGATAATGGATGGTAGTGAACAATGGTACTATGATTACTTCCTAGATGTTAGTTTTCGATTCTATGGAACTCTCAATCATCACCCAAGCCATGTTCTCTTTTCTTTTAACCCGAATCCTATGAGCTAGATGTTAGTTTTCGATTTACTTTGTTTTTGATGCTTCTTGGATGTTCATGTTAAATAACAATAGTATTATTGGGTTCTCTACAGTAGTAGTTAGTCATCGACTCTTGTTTGTTTGATTTTATCTTCTCATTATCAAGTAATAAAACTTAGTTCTTTTTATATTTAATCTTAGAATTTCATATATACTTAGACAAAATATGGATTCACCCTTCTCTAATCTAATAAAACCCAATTCAATTTGATTTATATATGCTCATATGTATTAAAAGTTGTGCTATACTTATTAGTAAAGGTAATTTCATAGTTTGTTTTGCTAAATTTTAATTGATTCAAGTTTCATGCAAGTAGTTTTCTATTCACTTTGGTTTATTTTATCAATAATATAAAATACCTTGATCAATTTAGTTAATTTACTAACATTAGCCAATTTCAAACTATAATCTGAATTCAATTGGAATATAAATGAATATATTTTTTTTCTTTTTCTTTGATCTGATCCGTTTGCAGCTTTAGCAAAATAAAATAAGGTCTTCACTTAAAATAAAATTAAGTTAAATTTGGTAGTTGTTAACATGTGTAGAGAACAATATCATTATGAATAAGTGGGTTGTTGCATGATGAAAGAGTTAGGAAGGACATGGACAAATCCTTAAAAAAAATTGCCATATATGGAAAAGGTTTATTACATTCAAAACATAGTGCATTTCGAGTCTTTCTGAAATAGGAATGAGATCGATTTCGGATGCTTACTAACTTCTGATTTTTTTATTTTATTTATTATTATTATTATTATTTTTTTGCGATGAGCTTATAATACATGTTCTGAGTTAAACATATGATATGCTGTAATGAAATGTCATGATGTATTCTGAATTATGCGATGTAGTTTTGATTTCTCGAGTGAACATGTTGTTAACTTCAACTAGCGATGAATCTCGATTATGCTTACTATATCTATACATATATGCTCTCAAAGCCCCAGCAACCCGAAGCACTCTATATTGCATGCTCCAGGCAAAGGCCCTGGCAACCCTAGGCGCAACTCAAAGTCCCGTCAACCTCGGGTATTTTATGCTGCATGCTCCATGCGAAGGCCCTGTCAACCTAGGTGTAGCTCAAGCCTCGGTAACCGTGGGCACTCTACTAAGTCCTAGGTACCCCAGGCATAGATAAAGCCCTGGCAACCCCAGGCACAAACAAAACCCTAGCAATCCTAGACACAAGTAAAGCCTTAAACACGTCAGGCATAGACTAAGACTTGGCAATCCCAAGTACAGACAAAGCCCTAGCAACCCCAAGCACAAACTTAAGCCCTGGCAACCCCAAGCACAGACTAAGCCCTTGCAACCCCAGGCACAAACTTTAGCCCTGGCAACCCCAAGCACAGACTAAGCCCTAGTAACCCCAGGCACAGACAAAAGTGTTGGAAACCCCAAGCACTAACAATGCCCTAGAAAATGCAGGCACAGCCAAAACCTTGGCAACCCCAGGCACAACCAAAGCCCTGGAAACCCCAGGCACAGCCACACCTCCATATAACTGTTGGAACGCTTCGTCGATAGCAGGTATGACTCCTATCCAATTTATAAACACAGGTACTCCGTGTAACTGCGATGGACTAAGGGAAGATAAACTTCACCCATCCTGAATTGACAATAACACTTCACTTAAGAAGAACACTTCATTCCCAATTGTATCACCCATGAAGGGCCTTGTCTTCCTTGTATCGGTGACAAAAACTACAACGTAGTTCAACTTCCTTTCTTTACAAATATGAATCTTAATGCTCACCCCACGGCTCATTCCTGCTATATGTTGGTCTTTCACACTTGATAATGTTTATATATCGGGACAACTCTTTTCTTTGAAAACATTTATCACATACTCATTTTACATAATGTTATCGCACCTGATAGTATCCCATATGTTGAATAACAATGTTGGATTTGTGATAAAGTTGATTATGTCTGGTCGATACTTGATGACGATAGAGTTCAATGGGCGTTCGACCCTGAAATACTTGAATCCTATTATTTCCGATGTTACCTACAAAAACCTGTGAAGTCCCTTCCAATGTTAGCGGACACTTACAACTTTCTTTCTTCTCAACAACGTTTAACACGTGAGCTGAGCCTCCAAACCAAGGGCCATGCATGATTTACTTTTATAGTAATTCACAATTAGTGGTTGATTACACTCGCAATGGTGTTTGATTAAGATTAACTCATATAATACATACGAAATGTACTTATTTGTGATGAAGTGCACACAACGACCAACTTTAAATGATTTGATTACCATTCGATATTTGTGCTAATACAAGTTGCAAAAAAAAAAAATCACAGACCACGCGACTTTCTAACCGCACTACCTACAACCTTGATTCAGACTCTTTCTTATAAACTAATATGTGATAAAGTTTTATTACAATATTGAAAATTCTGGACGAATGACAAAGTTCTCTTGGAAGTTGTTGCGAAGGTTATCTCATTTGGGAGCTCTAATACAATGAGAAAAATTTTCTCTACATTTAAATTGCTATGCATTAGAATCTGAACATAATACGCCAAGGCCAATAGCCCATTGACACCGCGMTAAAAGCACTAGCGCAAAAGGACTTAGAAACTGGCACATTTATGACGCAATGGCACGTATTTATGACATATTTTGCATCCTTCTACAAAATGCATCAAATACACTTCCCTATGCGCATGGTCCAAAATCTCGCACAATAAATGGGGGGCCTTCCTTCGTATCATATTTTAGATACCTGAAACGATACTAGCAATGCCTTCTATTAAAGCAAAAGGGGTTGGGTATCCAATCCGCGAGACACCCATAAAACACCCTCCCACTCACCCAAGAGGACGATAAAAGTAACACACTCACCAAAACCTCACCTGAGTGTTTCTCGATAGAAAACATTCTATCAAGATACAGGGGGGGCTGCGCCCACCAAAGCAATAACAGGATCACCTCTACCACTCCCTCCCTTACAACCAATGGTCAGGGGGCTAAAATCCAAAAAACATCTCACTGAAGGGATGAAAGATCCATCCTATGGACGCCCAAAGATTGCGGAATAAGGGGCGAGTTTCAAAAATTGTTCTCTCCCTTCAACTGGGAATCGTATTCCCTATTTAGAAAATCATATTTTCAA